GGAGAAGCAGTGCGTCTGTGCGCGCCCGGGATCCGAATCCGGGCCGCCTGCATCGGAGCGCACGCACTTAACCGCTAAGCCACGGGGCCGGCCCTGCCAAGTGATTTTTAATAAGCCTGTCTGAATGCAGTGGGGCTCGTGTGAGCTGATGGGCTGCCTGCTTTCCCATCTTAAGTGTTTCAGGAAACTGTCCTGCTTGGGAGGTTGAGGAGGCCACTGGGGCTGGAACAAAGAGAGTCTTGTTCCATGGCCAGTGGCCTGGGTCTGGTTTCTTCTCTCATACATGCTGAGAGGACCACATTCAGAGTGGGAAAATTTTTGAAGAGGATTTTACAGGACGGAAGTATAAAAATGTTTCTTCTTTTTGCTTTCTGGGAGAAACAAGATGATGAAGTGGTAAATTCCTTTGCTACTCAAGTCCATTCCCGATCCTCCAGCCAACGAAACTTGTCACTGTGCCCTATATGGGCATTATTCTTCCTCAGTTCCTGTGTCTTTGTGATGTTACTCCCATCTCATCTCTGCCTACATCCTCTTTGCCCATCCTTAATCTCACTCATCTCTCAAGATTTGGTGTCTCTCAAGGAAGCCATCCCATACACCCCAGGTGGAAGTGGGGTTCTCTGTTGTCTGAATTTCTATAGCTCTCAGCTTCTTTGTTACCTTTTATTGCTTGAGGCGACTATATATTGTGTGTGTGTGTATGTGTGTATTTCATTTGCAAGCCAATCAACATAGAAACAATGAAGACCTTTATGGAACACCTCTCTGTCTCATATACACACACCACATACACCCACGTCATACCCCTACACCACACCCATCAACACCCCCCCCACACATATACGCACCACTCACACCCACACACATGCATGTACCACACGTATACGCTATACACACATACCTACACACACACACACCACTCATCCCTACCACACACACCACATACATGAACACCACACAAGTCAATACACAGACACACACACACACACGCAGGTAGATTGTGTGCTCAGTTTACTGAGCATAAAGGCCCTCACCACTCTTGGGCTTGTGAGCTAGATCAAGCAGCCCAGCCCCTGAACCTGTGGTAGATTTGGGTGTCACTTCTGTCACTGTCAGGTGAAGGGTATTATTATGCTTTCTCCAAATGAATATGTGTTTCCTTTTCATGTGATTTTGGGGTGGGGGCTTCAGGGAAACAAAATAGAGAATGTCCCAGACTTGTCTCTGGTTCTGCCTTAGTTCTTACTCTGACGAAGGCAAACAAAGGATGTCAATACTTGTATAAGCCAGGAATCAATTGGAAGATAAATCTGTTGAAAGGGAAACCATCTAGGGAAACAGATTTGAGTCAATTATAAATGATTTTTGGATTACCAATCATTCTTCTTTGGCTGTGGACTACTGAGGAGAAGCTAAAAGATTATGATGAATTATTAAAGAGCTCTGGAAGGAGGGGGTGGGGGACACTCTTTGGTTGGACTGTGAGTCAGATTGGCCCAGTGGTGTCATGTCATTTGACCAGACAGAGATCTGTGTTTTCACTGTAGGTGTCATTTCTACCAGCGATTTCCACAGTCCAGAGCACGTGGAGTCCAATATTTGATTTGTTGCATGTTAATGATGGCCTATGAGAAGTAAAGTTACCAACATTTGAGACTCTCGGTCTCAGTCATTTGCTGTTTCATAAGATATATATATATTAATGGTCTGGGATGGAAATGTGTTTTCAGAATCTTCAGATCAAATAAACTGCAACAACTGCTTAAGGAGAACCTGCTATGAACTGAATGAGATAAGGCTAACGTGTATTGTCACTAAGCACATTGTGTATACTGTTTCGTTTAAATTCTACAATAATTCTTTGCAGCAGATACTGTACCAAGTATTATAAGCAGTGGGGGGAAATATATCTGCAGTGGCCGTCCCTGCCTTTAGGGAGGGTACAGTCAAACTAAAAAGCAATATAAACCCATCAAATGATTTAGGATTCTTAGCAGACAAGGGCATTCCAGGGGGGTACTGAATTTCCCGGGTACGAGAGCTTTGCCAGAGGCCAGATGCATCTGAACTTGGCTTTTCTCTTGCTTTTACTAGAGTGGAAGGTCAGGAAGCAGGTGTGTGAAGGAGGATGCGTAACGTAACGTGCTTTGTGGCCTGTAGTGAGTGCCGGGGTTCACGTGACTTCTTGCTCTTGGTAACTCAAAAGCTGGCTTGAAGGTCAACCTTCATAGAGGCACGATGTGGTGAACCCGTGAAGGAAAAAGGGGATTTGATTGAGGAAAACCAATCAGATCTTCCAGGTATTGGGCAGATTTAGAACAATGATATGAGGTCAAAACTAAAGGTTGTTGCAATCCTGGAAGATTAAGGAGCAAACTGGCTTTTGTGCTTTTCTTCCAGTCCGTTTGTTCCTGGAGTTTTATAACTTTGTAAAGGTCTGAAAAATTCTCTGGGAAGACAGTTACCCATGATCGCTTTAGACCTGTAGCCTCTGCTTGTGCACTGGTGGGTTGTTTAACATATAACAGCATTTAAGTGTTCGTTTGAGAGTGGGTGTAAAGAAGGCTGTCTCGAGGTTGTGCACCTAGGTCCATGCTAAGGCTGTTGCCTTAAATATTCCTAGAACTCTTCTTTAGGAATTGGTTTCAGATACTATGGCATACCTTTTTGAAAGTGTTCAGAGATGGCCAATGCTGGATCTTAAAAATGGATTTAGTAATAGTCCAAATAATAGATGAATTCATCTATCCCTCCACCCCTTAGATAAAGTGAAAAGAAGTGAAAAAAGGAGAAAAAAGGAATAAGAGAATATCTTACAAGTGAATTTAAGTATTAGAAACAGCCAAAAATTATTTGGAACAATTCAGGCTGAGAATTACAGATTTTAAAAAGAAATTGATGAAACGGATTTTCTTGATTGGTTTATAAAGTGATACTGAAGGTATTTCCAGAATAAGGCTTTTAGAAATTTCTGAGCGATAATGACATTAATGCAACTATATCTATCAGTTCTCAAGGTGATTTTGTTAAAGCAGATTAACTTGGGCTTGTAGGTTCTGATCAGTTTGTAAAGATTCAAAAACAAAACCCACATTTACTGTCATAGTTACTCATATGTTCTCAGATGAACATATGAGTCTTCTGCTCTCCTTCCCTCCCTCCTTCCTACGCACACACTCACCCATGTACACACTGATTTGCTGCCCTCAGTGGCAGGAAGAGAGAATGTTGTGGGGCTTCAGAACCTGACAGAACAAGCTCTCCCCTGCTGGGTAAACAGACCAATACATTGATTATTTTGCCAATATTTGGTCTGTTGACATGTCAGGTGGATCTCCAAGGGAGCAGACAGTGCGTGCGTGGGTGCTCCCTGTTCCACAGAGTTCTGTTTAAGAAACCCAGGGATGGTCCCTTCTCTCTCTCACATGTTTCCAGCACACTTTAATCACCTGCGTTTGTTGTTTCACTCACTAGGGGAAGCTACATGACCCTCAACTCATGGGGATCATCCCGAGGATCGCACATGACATCTTTGACCATATTTATTCCATGGATGAAAACCTGGAGTTTCACATCAAGGTAAGTGCTATTGATTGAGTCCCAAGAGAAAGGGCCCAAAAACATGTTTCTTAGCTTTCTTCTTTTTACCTACACGTAAAAGTTGATTTTGTCTTTTTTCAGTGAAGTTCTTGTGGTAAGCAGAGCTGTATTTATTATTTAATGACTCAGGCCAATACTTAGCTATCTGGATGGTTTGCTTGAAATATTGAGATAAAGTAAAAGCCCTCTTTGGAATGGAATCATCTTGATAGTTGCCTGAATTCTACCCTTTACCCTATGGATTTCTGTGGATATGAGTGGATTGTGTCCATGATTGGGTTAGGACAGCATTTCCCAAAGTGTGTTCCATGGAACAGAGTCCCTCATATTATTAATAGGTGGGCTACCAGGGAAAACGGCTTATATGGCCAATAAGCTGGGAAAATGTTTTGTTGAACAATGTTAAATTTATCACAGGCTTAAATATGCTATTGTGTAATGCACTTCTACAAAGGGGGCATGTAGTATATTAGATTTTCCAGCTTATTTGACTGTGGACATGTTTTTCCCCCTTGGAGTATGACAGACTAGTGTTTTGAGGCACACAGCCTGAGAAATGTTGGAGAAGGGAATTCTTGTTTTTTTTTTAAACCAGAACCTATGTTCTGGCTTAAATTTGAATTGAAAGAGAGAATTCTGCTCTCTTAACTATAGCTGTTAATTCATAACTTTCGGTATTAGGAGTATATCCATTGCAACTCCTTTGTTTGCAAGTGTCTGAAAGCCATTTGTTTAAACAATAGAGGAAGTTGTTTTAAGATACAGAATCTGATAGCAGGCATGGGACGGGGGGGGGTGTTGTGGACAAGCAAGAAATCCAGGCCCTGCTTTTCCTTTTTTTTCTTTTTAACTTAAAAAAAAATTGAGATATAATTCACATACCGTAAAATTCACCGTTTTAAAATATACAGTTTGATAGTTTTTAGTATATTTCCAAAATTGTACAACCATGATCACTATCTAATTCCAGAGCATTTTCATTACTCCCAAAAGAAACTCTGTCCCCATTACAGTCCCTGCATTTCTGCTTTCTTGCTTTATTTCTTTCTCTTGTTCCAGACCATCTTTCTCTTTTTTTATGAGGGAGAGGGCAACATGGCAGCTTCTGCTCCACATTCCCTTATTCTCAATTCCTAATTCCCGAGGGAAGGGGCTCATTGGCCCGACCTTCAGTAGGTGATCTCCCAGCTCTGAGTAGCTGTGTCCAGGATGCACATGGCTCGCTGGGTCCCCATCACGGTGACTGGGGTTGGGGTTGGTGGGGTGAAGAGGAGAAAGGGGCAGTTCTAAGAAGACTTGCAGCTGAGCAGATCAGCCAAGAGGCCAATTATCCTTGAAGGCTGGGACGTTAGTGCACTAGGCCCATCATTTTAGAGATGGAGATGCTGAAGTTCAAAGATGTAGAGCTAGATGTCGAAGTTACATCTCAAGTTATTGGCAGAGTTGAGATTAGACTCTTGATCTGACCAACCCCACATGCAGTACCATTTCCATTACATTAAACTTCCACTCTTACTTATTTCTGCTCTGTACCTTTCCTAAATTATATAAAAACAAGGCAAAACTGTTTGCCCAATTATAAATTACATCTGGCAAATCTTTTCCCTTACAGCTAGCTCCCTTTGTTGGCTAAAGCCAGCTCCTCTACCTTGCCAGGGTCCTTTATGTCTAGGGATAAAGAAGCTTGTTGCTTTGATGGGATCAAGATTTAGGAGCTTAGTGCAACTTTAAGGCTGTTTGCATTTAAATACCTTAAACTACTGTAGGGTTCTTATGGGATAATCCTAGAGTAAAGTGTTAAACCAATTACTGCCCTCAAAATAGGGTCTCGAATTAGAATCTTATTAAAATACAAGCAGCCCCAGCATGGCGAGGGAGAAGAAGAGGAACAACACTCAAGTCTCTAGGGCTGAATTTTACAGTCCAGTTTCCTGTTCTGCATTTGTAGTTAGGCTCACTTATTTCATAAATAATAATCGTTAAGTGGGCAAGTTAGCTATTGACTACTCCATATTTTGAACTGAGTAGTGACAGGCTTAAACAAGAAAAAGAGGCCTGATTAAGGCAGTATTGAAAAATCAGTTCCTTAAAGTGAGTCCCACAGAGTTTTTAAACATTATTTCTGAACATACTATTTCTTAATGCCAAGCAATGCCTATTTATTTTTCTTTCACCTGGTCTCACAAAGTATTTGAAGTGACAAAAATAACAAAATCAAACCCACTGAAAAAGGAGCCAGTATCTGCTGTGGTAAAAAGAAATTAATAAATCAGAATTCTCTTTCTACTTATCTTAAATATGAACAGGATTTTAATGCCATATTTGCTAATATGTAATTCATGACTGCTTTTTAGATGTAATTAATTTTCTTTGTAATCTGTGGAAATAAGGACGCATATTTACGATGTCAAAGATAACCGAAAAGTCTTAATGAATATCAGACAATTTTGAAATACATAGAATGGGTTGGAACCAGGGTTGAGTTGGCTGCAGGGAGGGCTGGGTTAGAGATGTCTAGGATGAGAGATGTCTAGGATTCCAGCCACAGGGAGAGGTTTCAGGAGCAGTGGGTCTTTCGAAGGTCAGTTAGATGTGTCTACAACAGACAAGGTGCGGTGACAGGGGAGTTTGACAGACATTCAAGTAGGCCCAGGTTAGTGGGGAGACAGGCAACCTGGAGAGGATGCCCATCTATAGATTCCAGGGTTCAAAGCCAGGATCCCAGATCTCAGAGAAACTAGGAAGTCAGGAGGTTCCAGGCTGAGACATAGACAAAAGATAATGCGTCAGGGCTGAGTTGGGTTAGGACTAGTGCCAGGTTAGGGAGTCTTCACTTCCGCCGACTAGAGGCAGGACTGGTCCAGAGCTGGGATGTTGGGGCGAGGCTTTACGTGTGGAGTCACATCCCAGCTTTACAACTATTTTTTCAACTTTTTTGTCCATTCTTTTGTTTAGATTTCAGAAAAACCCATGAAAATGAGAGAGAGAAAAATTGATGGGAGGCAGAAGGCAGGTGTAGACAGAGTACAAAATCCTGGAGGGAACTTTTGACATCGTGAAGTCCAGTGGCTTCATTTGACAGGTGGGAAAATGGAGGCCTAGGGTCTTGGTTACATGTGAATTAAGTCCCCAAGATCACATATCTAGTTAAGGTTGTTCTCAGAGGTCAGCTGGCATAAGAATTGTGTAAGGAGTTTAGAAGCAGGTTCCTAGGTCCCGTTCTTGGACATTCTGATTCAGGAGGACCACAGTAGGGTTCATGGCTCTGCAATTTGAACAAACACTGTGGATGCTACTGCTGCAGGTGGTGCTGCGGCTAAGGTTTGAGAATAATTAATTGGAGGGCTTCCTTTCTTCTCAGTCTAATCTGTCTTTTATTAAATCACATTTTGTTCAAATCCTTCTTGGGCTCCCCAAAGCTGTCTACCACCAGCAGCTCTCTCCCTGTTACCCTTGAGCTCTTATCCCCCTCCCCACTTCCTTCATGTGAATGTTTGGACCTGGTCCTATGAGGCTGTCAATATCAGGCAGAAAGTGAGGCCTACTGATTTTTGACAATTACTTGCAAAGAACATTTTCTATTCCAGCTCTTGTCATACCTAGAAGTTTGTTGGTGCTCATCTAAGGTAGATGCTAGAGTCCTCCTATAAGTGGCGGTCTAGCACAGGATGTAAATAACACCTGAATCGAGACCATGGGGAGCTGTGACGTGTGGGGATGGAGAGGGGCCCACACTGAGCAGGGACTCTAGAGCAAGCTGATGAAGAAGGAAAATACTGGGGAGTTGGCTGGAGCTCTGCACTTTCTGTCTCTGAATCTTCACTTTGTACCCCGTCTTCTTCCTCCTCTTAGCCATACATGACAAAAGCTTTTATAAGTTCTAATAATGACATTTTTGAAATACAGTGTGGCATTTCTATTTCAGACTCAATTTGTTTCTAACCAGGTTTCCTATTTTGAGATCTACTTGGACAAAATCAGGGACTTACTCGATGGTAAGTAACCTGAATGCCTTTATTTGTTCTGTACTAATGTCCAGGGAGGTTGAAATGATTTACAGCACTTCTGCTTAAGGAATTAATGAAAATTTATAGAGGTGTTCTTTTGTCTTCATGGTATCTGTTTATTCTCAGCCAAGGCTTAAACTTGCATGTTGCAGGGAAATTAGTTTTGCCTGTTTTCTGTAACAATTTCTATTTTTCCTCCAATACAGGGTCTTTAACTTTTCTTTTCTTCTTTGCATGTTGTCATTATTATCTCTTTAGTATCCAAGACAAACTTGGCTGTTCATGAAGATAAAAACAGAGTCCCATACGTAAAGGTATGAGGAAAACATGACCAATGATGCAACTGATTTCTCTCCAGTCACTGTCATCATAAGTATTACATAAGATGCCCAGAATATTACCTATAAAGTACATGTAGATATTTAATCATGTTCCTTATATTCAATATTTAGCTGGTTAAAAAATAGACGTTTAATTTCTTCAATCGGATCTCTCTGTGTAAATGTATCACAGATGTCTAATCACATGAGGTAAGAATTGGAGAAATGAACAAATATTTATTATCCACATTTAAAGAAGCTTTGTTATTGATTACAATTGTTTATACTTTGCATTTAGGGGAAGTATATTCTAGACATAGCATTATGTCTAGAAACTCAAAGTGTCTGATTTAAGTTGGTGGCTAGAATGGAAGGCAAAGCAAAATTTCATCCATTTTTCTGTCATTGGTTTTCTTCCTTATTTTCTGTCTCCACTGCTGTTGATCGTGAATATGTACTTAAAAATCTAGGAAAATCCAGCATTTCTTTTCTGGTTTACCGAGGGTTTGCTCAGACTTCTTTTCAGTGTAGAATTCAAGCCATAGGCAAGGAGGAAAAGTTACTGGATCAACATTGCAGCCTTTCTTTTGATTGGCACCTGTAGAAGAGAAATGAGAAAATGTTTAGCTGTTTCGAAACATTGTTGCTTTTCAATTTTTTAAAGCCCAACCTGAACTGACTCTGTTCCAGGGGTGCACCGAGCGGTTTGTGTCAAGCCCGGAGGAAGTCATGGATGTGATAGATGAAGGCAAAGCAAACCGACATGTGGCTGTAACAAGTAAGCGTGGTGTGGTGTTTCCTCCCCTCTAACTTAGGATGCAAATGTCTGCCTGCCCACCAGGAGGGGTGGGTAATGAGCTCCAAATGAAATAATGCGTGGGAAGGTGATTGGAAAGCAGTGGTTTGGACACAGACAAGAGTGTGTGCAGTATGAGTGTGCCTAGGCAGGTCGTAGGAAACAGCCTACTGCTCTCCAGGGAACTCTTGGAAGTATTGGGTGAGACTCACTGGACCCTGGTAACAGCCTAAGCCTGAACACCAGGAATACAACCAACCAACCAACTAAAGGGGAAAAAGTAAGCTTCTAAGTTTATTTATTTTAACCATGTTATTGTTCATGTTTAAAAAAAAAGATCCAAACCAACAAATTCTATGTGCCAGTCGTACACATGGAAAGAATCCATGTTAGATTTCTGCCCTCTGTAAAAAAAGAAAAGAAAAGCAAGGAGGAACTCAGCAAGTAGAGCTGGGAGAGTTATGGAAAACTTTCCGATGCTGTGTTAATAACAAACATCTTCAGGTCAGCTTTTTTCTCTTGCATTTCCTTCCTCAGCATGTGCACCCATCTCAGGGAAGCAGGTCATATGGTATTAGAGCAGCGGAGGTTCTGTGAAACGATGGGGGCTGCTGTCTTATTCAGACGGATATGGACAAATGAGAGTGAGTTCATATGAAAAGCAGCTGAAAGAACTAGGGATTTCTAGCTTGGAAGAGAGAAGAAAATCTGGGGAGGACATGTGGACAATGCAATTTTTCTCAACATGTTCAAGGTGCTGACATTAAGAAAGAAAGTCAGCTTGCTTTGTTTGATCTGAATGGGTAGACCACCCAGGATTGTTGATGCCTCAGGGAGGCAGATTTTGACCTCATACAAGAACTCTGTAATACTGATAGCTGCCCCAGGTGAAGCCTGCTACCTGGAGAGGTAGTGAGTTCCCTGTATGGTGTAGAAGAGTCAAGCCTTGGTGGGTTGACTAGTCTAGCCTCTTTAAGTCTCTTCCACCCAAGGTTCTATGATTCTGTGATCCAGAACTGTAATTCTCAACCCTTTCTTTACCGCAACAAATGTATAGGATGATATTCATATATGTGGCAAATTTCATAGGTGAGCCTAGACTTGTATATAGTGTAGGTTCAACTTCACTTCTTTCTTTTCTGCTTACACATTTCTTGAAAGAATCTAAGACTGAATTTCTTAGAGTAGTAGCATCTCTCGTTTATAAAGCAATTCATTACTCACTTTCTTGGGTTGGTCATGAATTATTCATACCATATCTGATCATCCATCTTGGCCTCTTGGTTCAGAACGGTTGGTTCAGAACATTAGTATTTTTCTTATCATTCTGGTAAGGTGGTTTTTAAAATTATTGTGGTAAAATATGCATAACCTAAAATTTACAATTTAAACCATTTTTAAGTGTACAATTCAGTGGCATTAAGTTCATTCATGATGTTGTGCAACCATCACCACTATCTGTTTCCAGAATTTTTTAATCATCCCAAAGTGAAACTCCATGCCCATTGAACAATAACTCCCCATACTCCCTCCTCCCAGCCCCTGACAACTACCATCCTACTTTCTGTCTCAATGAATTTGACAACTCTGGGTATCTCATATAAGTGGAATCATATAAGTACTTTTGTGACTTGCTTATGTCACTTAGCATAACGTCTTCAAGGTTCATTCATGTTGTAACATGTGTCAGAATTTCCTTCCTTTTTAAGGCTGAATAATAATTCCATTGTATATATATATATATACCACACTTTGTTTATCCATTCATCCATAGATAGACACATAGGTACTTGTGTTGCTTCCACCTTCTGGCTATTGTGAATAAATGCTGCTATGAACATGGGTGGGTGTATAAATATCTGTTCAAGTTCCCACTTTCAGTTCTTTTGGGTATATACCCAGAAGTGGAATTGTTGGATCATATGGTAATTCTACTTTTAATTTTTTGAGGAACTACCATGATTTCCATAGCAGCTGCATCATTTTGTATTCCAACAAATTGAATACAACAGTGCACAAGAGTTTCAATTTCCTCACATCCCTGCCAACACTTCTCATTTTCTGTTTTTTTCCCCTTCTTAATAGATATCATAATGGGTGTTAAGTGGTATCTCATTGTGGTTTTGATTTGCGCTTCCCTAATGATTAGTGATGTTGAGCATCTTTTCATATGCTTATTGGCCATTTGTACATCTTCTTTGGAGAAATGTCTTCAAGTCCTTTGCCCATTTTTTAATTGGGTTGTTTGTTTTGTTGTTGTTGATTTGTAGGAGTTCTTTATATATTCTGGATCTCAATCCCTTATCAGATATATGCTTTGCATATATTTTCTCTTGTTCTATAGGTTGCCTTTTTGCTCTGTTAATAGTGTCCTTTCATGCGCAAAAGTTTTTAATTTTGATGAAGTCCAATTTATCTATTTTTCTTTTGTTGCTTATGTTTTTGGTGTCATATCTAAGATATCATTGCCAAATCCAGTGTCATGAAGCTTTTCCCCATTGTTTTCTTCTAAGGTTTTATAGTTTTAGCTTTTACATTTAGGTCTTTGATCCTTTTTGTGTTAATTTTTGTATATGGCTAAAGGTAAGAGTCCACCTTTTTTTTTTTTACTTGTGGATATCCATTTGGTGAAGAAACTGTCCTTTCCCTGTTGAATGGTCTTGACATTCTTGTTGAAAATTATTTGAACACATTATGTGAGGGTTTATTTCTGGGCTCTCTATTCTATTCCGTTGGTCTGTATATCTGCCTTTATGCCAATACCACACTGTTTTGATTACCATAGCTTTGTAGTAAGTTTTGAAATTAGTAAGTGTGAGACCTCCAACTTTGTTCTTTTGTTCAAGATTGTTTTGGCTATTCAGGATCACTTGAGATTCCACAGGAATTTTAGGATGGACTTTTCTATTCTTGCAAAAAATATCATTAGGTTTTTGATAGAGATTGCATTGAGTTTGTAGATTGCTATTGGTAGTATTTCCATTTTAACAATATTAAATTTTCCAATCCATGAACAAGGAATATCTTTCCATTTATATGTGTCTTCTTTAATTTCTTTTAGCAACATTTTGTAGTTTACAGTGCACACGTCTTTTGCTTCCTTGGTTAAGTTTATTCCTATGTATCTTATTCTTTTTGTTGCTATTTTAAATGAAATAGTTTTCTTAATTTCCTTTTCGATTGTTCATTGTTACTATATAGAAGTGCAACTGATATATACGTATTTCTTTTGTATCCAGCAACTTTGCTAAGTTTGTTTATTAGTTCTAACATAATGGAATCTTTAGAGTTTGCTCCATATAATCTGGTAAAATAGTTTTAAGAAATGATTGCTAGTGGGGGTTGAATAAGACAGTCACTGGGGTCTCTGCCTGCCTGGGGAACAAAGACCAGGGTCCAAAAAGATTTCATTTCCAGTACTTGGTCCTAATGAAGCATATTTAATCTTTGAGACCTTCTATGCACCTAGAATGGGTTATAGAAGAAGTGTGTGTTTTAATCCTTCCTTAAAAAAGTCATAATCCTTCCTTAAGAAAGCTGATGATATTACTGATAAGGCAAGGCTTACCCACATAAAGAAGATAAAATATATCAGGTATTAATCACAATAATAGAGGCTGAGGGACTTAAAGTGAGGCAGGGGAGGAAGCTGTGAGCTCTTTAAGAAGAGAGTTGGGCTGAAGTAGGATATTGGAGGATGGGGCTTCAGGCAGAGCTAAGAATCTGCTATCTTAAATCATTGACTAAAATTTGTAGATTAATTTCTTTGCCACTTGAAGACATTTTAAATCTTTCATTTCTAGAATGAGCATTGTTTTTAAGAAGAAACAGTGGTCTCAGATAATTTTTTAAATTGGCTGAACTTAAAAAAAAATGGAGCTTAAAAAGTTAGGCATGATTTGTTGTGCTTTTCAGATGAGAGGCTTGCTACTTAAATTTATGTGTTCTTTGTACAGCAGTAAACTATTTTCCTTTTCAGACATGAATGAACACAGCTCTAGAAGTCACAGTATCTTTCTGATTAATATTAAACAAGAGAATGTAGAGACCGAAAAAAAACTCAGTGGGAAGCTTTATCTAGTTGATTTGGCTGGAAGCGAAAAGGTAATTGGTTCTTTATTTGTATTATCTATAATTTCCCCCTGTTATTTGCTTCAATGTGCAATGGTATAATTTTTATGCCTTTCTATTCCCTGGTTTTAAAGAGCTTTTAAAGTTTCTGATGTTGTGCCAAGATGTTATTAAATTTAACCTTTGCTTGCCTGCTCTTTCTTTTCTGGTCCTGAAGTCCCCTATTCGTATCACGGGAGGTGCTTTGAATGCCAACTCTGATTTATGCCTAATAGGCTCAGATGATGACATTAGGCAAGTGTTGGTGTGAACTTAGCCTGGCAAAGGCAGTTGCACAAATGCAGGAGGGCATGAACTTCTGAGGAAGGGAAAGATACCCATGTTGTACCAGACTCAAATAGGCCAGCAGAGGGCTTTGCCGTTGGAATGTGGCAGTCCTGCCCTTGCAGGTTTGTTTTGCTGGTAGAAGATCTGGAAGCTGGGGCTCTCTCTGCATTGCTTGCTTCTCTCTGCAATAGGAATGGACTGACGGGGTCTCACATGGGTGGCCTCACATCCTTCAGGCTATGAGGACTGTAGCCAGGGTTTTTGCCACAATCCCTGATCTGTCTCTGGTTTTGTCAGGGCTCTCTTTTAGCATGTCTACTCTGTGCCATGCCCTCCCAGGCACCGGCTGACATCATACTCCAGACCAAATAGACTTCCCAGAACCTCCCACCTGCCCCCTTCCAGCCTCACTTCCATAGCACCACTACAGGCTCCTGCTGCCACAGCCTGGCTGAGGGCACTGCCCCCTGGGGCGACATCACAGAGCAAGTCCACGTGCACAATACCATGGGGCCTCCATCATCACTGACATTGTGCTGACTGTCCCCATCAGGCCTAGAAGCTCGGTCAGTCTCCTGAACTGTGTAATTGATCTTCACTTACTCCCCACCACCATACGCCAAGTTATGGCCACTGACATCCATGTAAGTAACGGCTACTTGGATTGTCCTCCTCTCTGCGTTTGTAAAGCGATGAGCAGAAAATCATCTGGATATTCCTGGTTGGGAATCTAAAATTTTACTTGTACGGGCTTGTAACTTTGATTAAACAGACACCCACCGGAATGGGAACATGAGCAGCATCGCTTAGTTCTAGGCTGACCATTAACAGCTGGGATCTGCTTTGTGGCCACACCAGCTGTGTGGGTCCAGACAGAGCCTGGTGGCCACTTCGCTCTTCCCGAGCTGCCCTCTTTCCTTTTAGTGCACAGCGAAGAGTATTTAGGGCCTAAATGTAGCTGAAAAATGCTTAATGCTGGCAGTTCAGAGGGGAGGCCTGTCCTCTGAACAGTGTTGGTGGTTATTGCTTCTAATATTTATGAGGCATTTTAAAGTTGTGGTCCCACACATCATTTCTTTTGCTCACGTCTGTTTTCTTTTGCCCTAGATGTGTCCATATGAATGTGTCAGTGTGATCTAGTAGAAGAGAACTCTGGGCTTTAGTCCCCGACTCCCCTAAATGGTGTTCTTCCCTTGGGCTGGCAATTTGACATCTCTGGAGCTCAAATTTTCCTTGTCTATAAAAGGAAGGTGACTGTACCTGTCTTGCATATTTCATGGAGTTAAGATGCTCAAATATGAAAGCACCTTAAACAACACCATGTGACTAGACTTATCATTTGTGACCCATCAGCTATATTATTTCTCTCTCTATAAGCAGGGGTACCCACACACACGATTCCCAGCGAGATGAGAATCTATCCTATTTGAAAAAAACCTCCCCCCTGGACACGCGTTCTTCTCTAACATTAGAAGTCTCTCCTTTATACATAATTGAAATCCGTCTATGTGCAGTTTAAAATCATTTCCCCGCTTTTCTTTCTTTAGAGAGCAGCTGCTCCCCCTGCGTTGTTTGTCTAGTCAGCAGAGCTATGAATCATGTTGAGTTCCTATTTTTTCCAGCATCTGTAAACTGTCTCTACCCAGAGCTGTAAATACGAAATTACCAGTAATAACACAGCAGAGGAAGAACTGTGCACGGTCCCTCTGGCTGTAGAGGAAAAAGACAAATTCACAACGTAATATACATTTTCTTGACTTTTTCTGCCTCTCCCAGTATTTTTCCTTTTGGATAATTGTTCCTGTTTTCCTCGCTGTGGGATTAAGTAGGAAAGGAACAGAGTCTGGACAACCCCTCCACCATGGAGGCTGTGGTTCAGGCTCGCAAGGCCCCTGCCTCTCCGTGGTGACAGCACTTCTGGAGCCTGCTTTCCCGATGGATGCCCCCTGGGGAAGCATCTGCAGCTCCAGTACTTGAGGCATTGTTTCAGCCATTCCCCTAAAAGCTAATTGAGGGGAAAATGACAGCGAGAGAGAACAAATCCCCAGCCTCAGGCACGAGGGAGGGTTTTATCAATGTGATTCTTACTTACTTTTACGTTTCCTTGCATTCCAGGCGGGTTCCCATCACCAGCGCCCCCTCCTTTGCTCTCCTGTGAGTTGGAATTTTCTGCCCTGCTCTTGCTGTCCTGTGCAGCTCACTGCTTTCTCTTCTCTCTGGTAGGTCAGCAAAACTGGTGCCGAGGGAGCTGTTCTTGACGAAGCTAAAAATATCAATAAGTCTTTGTCTGCTCTGGGAAATGTGATCTCTGCCTTGGCAGAAGGGACAGTAAGTGAGCCTGTTCCTGTCTATTAAATGATGTTATGAGAAGTCGCCTTTTGGGTCCCTGTATTCTCTTTGTCACACACCCTAGAGATTCGTTTGTTTTTGTTTGGAATGGAACAGAGGGAATCCTGGCTGTGGACATCCTGCTTGCTGGGAGATCTAGTGTGTTAAAATGTGTGAATGGTAATGCTGATTTTCTATGACCCGGGTCCCAGAAGAGGCATTCTGAACTTTGGCAAGATGCAGAGACTGGGCAACAAATTCTTATTTCACACGTGTTTCTAAGCCCAGTGTTCTCATCACTGACTTCCTTCCCTCTGTTTTTTCTTTGAATGGGCTCCAAGAGCCAATACTTTTTCTTTTCCTAAATAGAAAACACACGTGCCGTACCGGGACAGCAAGATGACTCGGATTCTTCAGGACTCTCTGGGTGGGAACTGTAGAACCACCATCGTTATTTGCTGTTCTCCCTCTGTCTTCAATGAAGCTGAGACCAAGTCAACGCTGATGTTTGGACAAAGGTAGGTGTGGTCTCTTGTTGCTCATGCTCTGAGCTGAGTCTTAGGTGTTAGGAGTAAGTGGTAAGGGGCTAGTGCCAGAGAGGAATTAGAGTGAGGGGGCAAGCAGCCTGTTACTAAATTGCATCTAGCAGGTGACCTGTAAACTTGAGGCATCGTTATTGAGGCCAAAGGAATAATTATGTTTTAAATTAATGGACAAGAATATGCCAATCAGAGGTCTGGGTTAAAAGAAACACTCAAACTTATAGATGAGACTGTTGGTAATTCAGTGGAGCGTTACTGTTGTTCTTCATGCAATTAAGTCTAATGCTCAGTTTCACAGGATTTCAAGTGTATACAACTCAAGACTGGTAACTACCTTTAACTCCAATATTTGGGATCCATTGCAGAGTTGCTGATAGAACAACCAGAAACTTGCTGAATGTAGAGTAGTGGCATAAATATAGATAGGGTGGGGAAGAAATCCTGCCTGGGGATAGGAGGTGCAGAATGTATTTTGAGGAAAGGGGAAGATGGCAGCCATCTTCTCGCCTTTAAAAATGTCCCAAATGAGATGTCCTGGATGTCTGAAAAGTGTTAATAGGTGGGAGACACTCAGTAATCTAAAAACAACATTCACGTATGTGGGTTAGTTCATACCTGCCTTTCCTGTCTTGCCCACCTCTCCCTGTTGCCCAAGGCCTCACCTCCTTCAGTCATGGTCCCTCAGTTTCAGGTGTTTAGCTTCATCCTCTCAGCATGGCTGCCCCAGGTGCTAGTTCCTAGAGTGCTTGGGGTGCAGTGGATTTGGGTGATCTGAGCATCTCAAGTGCTCAGTCGGCTGAGCCCAGACCTGAAGTTGGGAGATGCAGATTCTAGTGCCATCATTCCCTTCAATACTGAACAATTCTATGATCTTTAGACAAGTTACCAGTTCTCCGTGGGCTTCAGCTGCCTCATTTGTAATGGATGCACAGAGAACTACCTTGGCCTTCCTCCTGGGAGTGTGTTGTGTGGCTATGTCTGAGAAATAGTTTAAGATGACTAGAGAAAGGACAGTTGGGGGTGGGCATTCTGTACGGGAAATTGTTATGGCTTATTTAAACTGCATTAAACCCCAGTCATTTCCTGAGCCCTCAACAGAACATAGAATTACACAGTCACAGCACCTGTGGGATGTCTAAATAAATAATAATTACAGTGAAATGTTGTGGAGCTAATATATCTTTTAAACTGGATTTGGGTCCTTTACTTCCTCTCAAATTACTTCCTTGATTAGCCAAATGCTTGGGTCAGTGAATTGCAGTGGGATAACCCCTGCTTTTCTCAAGGGTCACGGGATACCTATAAACCAGGAACTGCTTATGGGAAACGTAGGATACTGTGGTGATCATCCTGCCTGCCCCGTCTCTCCTGGTTTCTTAAACTTAAGCTTTAACAATTTCCTCTGAAGACATGTTTGAGCAAATGCATATGTAAAGCACCAAATGCATTTAGAAAGGAACCATCTCTTAAAAAAAAATTCTCACCAGCAAAGCAAAAATAATCTGAATCTTTGCAAGCCAGAGTCATCCTGGGCATGGGCTGTCTGTCTGAAAGTTCCTGATGTTAGTGGGCGTTGCTGCTGTCTATAGATAGAGTTTTAGGTGTGAGTCCAAATGATTGTTTTCTTTCTTCTGATCTCAGTGAGGCAATCATCAGCATCGTCATTATCACTAGTGCTTTTTTTAGGGCCTAGCATGTACCAGGTGTGTCAAAATCCTCACAGCAATTCTATCAGGTAGGCATTATCCCACCTTTGTACAGGGGATGAAATTGAGGCTTAGGCTCAAAGCCATTAGGTACCATACCTGAGACCACCCAGCCACTAAATGTCTGAACATGTAGGATGTCGTAGGATGGAGTCTGTTATTTGGCCCACAGCCTCTTACATGTGGGCTGCTTGATCAGGAACCTTGATGAGCACAGGCCTCTGGGGTCAGTAAGTTCAAGTTTTGAAGCTAAGTTCTGCTACTGACCCATTCTTTCTCTCGTTTACTTCTTTCTGAGCCTCAGTCTCCCCACCTGGAGAAAGAAATATAATAACGCCTACTTCTGAGATTGTTAGGAGGGTTAAATGAGTTGCTTCAGTTTTTGCTTAGCACAAGGGCTGGCATGTCATAGGCATTCAGTGATTGCAAATATCCCTTTTCCTCCATCTTCAACAGTCTTCAGCAATCTGATGTATTGAGGCTTGGAAAAATCACAGTAATGGATGGGACTGGACTGAATGTAATGTAATGTATGGGATAGGACTGTAATATAAGGAACAGGACTGAATGAAGTAGAATTAGAATTAAGTTTATGGAGTGAATGATTAAAGAAATACTGCTGATATTTTGAGACTCCAGGAAATCAAAAGTATGTCAATTATATTTTCAAGTGAAATAGGTTGGTCTACAACCTTTTATCAGAATCATCTGGATACTGGGCTCCATGAGGGCAGGGACTACGTTTATCATTGGCATCAGTTGTCCCAACAAGCACCCAACACAATTAGTACATAGTAGGTGGTTAATAAATAAATGCTTATCAAATGAATGAACAGACGAATCTAATATTTGTTGTGTAGACTTCCTTAGAACTTTCAGGCAGTTGCCTGACTGTGACACCATTATGTCCACAAGTTTGGTTAGGTTTAGATCTTGTTTGTTTTCTAGCCTATAATTAGAAATGTGTGAGGTTTTGTTCCCTTCCTTCCATCCCTGAGTTAGTTAATGGATTCTTCAAGGACATCTAACTTCTCTATGGGGCCAATACATGCTTTATTGTTAAATATATGCGTTGAACCCAGTTACACAGCAGACATGAGTCTGAACATTGGATTAGACATGGTATCTGATAGCTAATGAGATTAAGCACTTTGAACTCAGAAAGGGCTGCCGGGCACATCCCAAATTCAGTGTAATGAGTGTTCATTATATTCTTGTTGCAGGGGTGGCCAAACCTTAGGACAGCATGAGGTTCCTCAGTTACTCCTACACGGTTCTTTCAAGAACATGAAGGAAGTCCGTGTTTGTTGCTAGGCTATCCTGTACTGATGCCCTGAATAAAACAATAGTATGTCCTTTGAAGCAGTGGAAACGTGATGGAGTCTACAGATGTCTGAGAGCAGCCTGTGAAGTCAGCACTCTTCAGAATTTTCAATTAGGTCCTGGTATTTTAAAGGAAAAAATTCACTGTGTCTATTTCTTGGTTTCAGCAATGAATTCTGGCTCTTCTATTTGGTCAGGCCTGTCCCCTTTAGTCCCCTGAATGCCCAGCCTTGTGCTAGTAAAGAAGTTGAAGCCATTTTCTATGTTCTCAAAGAACTTTTAATCCAGCCAAGGAGGCAACACTTGAACTTCCAGGCAGCAGAGAGTCAAAAAGCTGGACTCTGTGGAAAGGCTGAACACTTCCTGCTTTAAGGGATAGGGGACTCAAATTAGAGCACTTTCATTGATTTTTTTTAATTCTGGCTTCTAGCATTTTGTTTCTTAGCCTTTAATTGCTCTTCCAAAGTACTTTTATAGCACTTTTCGAAAAGGATATTTGTAAATTTTAGAAGTTGGAACTCAAATCACCCAATTATCTTGGATGCCTATTTAATGCACCTTGATTTGGGGTGGTAATGAGGGAAAAGGGAGCCCCGAGGGGGGAGACCAATCAGTCTAGAGAAGGCCTGAGTCAGCACATCTTTGGCACCAAGAGTTTTGATTGATCCAGTATGAATAATTCATTTATTTGTATGTGAATGTGGAAGGAGAATTGATAATTTAGGGAAAGTAATATTCTTTCTTCTTTTCCTGATGTGCACTTTTTAATTTTTAAATTGTGCCATCTAGTGCTCAGTTTGGTGGCCGCTGGGTTAGGCAGAGCCCAAGGCCTGAGTGGCGTGCATGGAAAATTCATGTCCCCAGAGCATGATAACAAGTTACCTGCGGGGCTACAGTGAGCACGTTGCCTGCCTTGATGCTTGGCTACGCTTTTGACATAAAATGGAGAAAGCCTCAAATCACCCTCCTGTTGGAGGGCCTGTTGCTGAAACACCGGTAGAATTAATTTTTGCTCTTAGAGAGAGAGATACTGTGGGTGACAGAAGTTTAACCAGATGCCAAATCCTTATCCACGTCAGTCATTTCTTAATGTTTCTCGGGAGACTGGAGCTTTTCAAAAGACAAAATTTAAAGCTTTTAATTTCTCCTTCCCTACATCCCCCACTCACAGCAGGGAAATGGCCTCAACAGGAAATGGGAAAGTGCTTTGCAGCAGTCATGTTTCCAGAAGAAGATTAGGTGTTTTATATGGGAACTAGGACTCAGAGCAGATTAAAGGGTGTGATGGTTTTATGTGTCAATTTGTTTAGGCTGTAGTACTCAATTATTTAATCAAATGCTAATCTAGGTGTGGCTCTGAAGGTATTTTGTAGATGTGATTAACATCCACCATCAGTTGACTTTAAGTAAAACACATTACCCTCCATAACATGGGTGGGCCTCATCCAATCAGTTGAAAGTCTTAAGAGCAAAAACTGAGGTTTCCTGGAAAAGAAGAAATTCTGCCTCAAGACTTGAGCATCAACTCCTGCCTGAGTGTCCAGCCAGCTGGCCTGCCCTACAGCTTTCAGAATTGCCAGTCCCCACAGTCACATGAGCCAATTTCTTCAGATAAATAAATAAATAAATGTAAGGTATATCTTATATATATCAAATAGGATCTCTCTCTCTCTCTCTCTCTCTCTCTCTCTCTCTCTCGTCTATCTATCTATATCTATCCTACTGGTTCTCTTTCTGTGGAGAACCCTGACTGATAGAGAAGGATGTGCAACTACCCTCTCCCACCCCACAGCGGGAGGATCTCAATCTCTCTGTCCTTCTTACATACAAACCACTCACAGTGCAGAATCACACATTACAGACTTATTCTGTGCATTGAAGGTGTGGGGTTGTCTAGGGGTTGTCAAATGTCAGTACTATCCTGAACACCTGGAGAGGGAAGGAAAA